TGTGTGTGTGTGTGTGTGTGTGAATGCAAAAATATACTACTAATTAATTCTTGTAATACTATTCCTACTTCACAGTTTTTCACTTATCACAGGTCTTCAGGGTATGGATCCCCCGCGATAAACGAGGGACTACTGTACATCCATGATTTTTATTCGCTTCTACGTTTCTATTGGGATGTATTGCTAGTGCCAATGTGTAGCAGTCACTGTGCAATATACATGAGTGAATTAACAAATGAATGAATTAATGGATGCATATCTTTACTATAATCAAACAACAATGCATGAAAAAAAAAGCTTCTACTGAACAGTGCATACAAATGCATCAAAGTCAAACAAATATCCATCCATTATCTTTTACTCGCTTCCTCTTTTCGAGTCACAGGTGTCACTGGTGTCCATATTCAGCCATTACTGTTCGAGAGGCGTGGTACACCCTGGATCAACTATTACAAATAGTTAGAAGGTGCCAGATACAAAATACAAAGGTTAATTTCTGTTTAATGGATCTTTAAGGTTAATTTCTGTTTAATGGATCTTTAAGACAAATTTAGTCTCCTGAAGGCCCGTTGATAATGCTGTTCTTCAGTCTGTTGTAGGGGTTGAACGACTAGATAATTTTTAAACTCGACATTAACAGAATAAAACTCGAGTAGAACTCGAGTACTTGATGACATCGTAGGATCTAAAGATACAAAAATAATAAATAAATAAATAAATAAAACTGCAAAAAAGTTCATTTACAAAAAAAGATCAACAAAACATTGGGAGCATATATTATGTTTCTACCATTTATCATACTGCAAATAAGTCACAGGAAAAACTAAACTATTAGTTATTATTATTAAGCTGCAAAATTGAAAGAAACATGCTGCACGTCAAAAATGAAACTAAAAACAGCCATTTGCAATAACAGCACCCGGTACGGATCACGTGACGCAATGACGTAACGGCGACGTAATGACGTCACCACGAATACTCGACGTGAAATTAAAAAACTCAATAGATGTCCTAGGAATCGATGTGTAGATTACTCAAGTAGTCTGTTAAAGCCCTTGTCTGTTGGTTCTGCATCTCAAGGACCTGAATTGCTTGCCAGCAGGCAACAGATTCAGTAGTCACTTACCAGGATGTAAAGGGTCAGAGGAGATTTTCACATCTTACTGAGGCTGTGGGAGCTAACAATGTCCTCCAGGAAAGGCAAGTGGCAACCAATGACCCTGGCTGCAGTATTGGTAACTGGCTGTAGAGCTCTCTTGCCTGCAGCAGAGAAGGCAGCAAACCAGACAGACACACAATACATCAACATGCTGTCTATGGTGGAGAGGTAAAATGACACCAGCAGGAACCACAGGAAGTGGAGTCTTTGCTGGGCCTTTTTTTTTTTTACCAGTACTGATATGTTGACTGACCTGGTGAGGTCCTAGTCCTAGTAGATCCCTAAAAAGTTGAAGGATGCCACACAAGTCCTTTTGATGGTCAGACTGAATTGCAATGTACTGTTGTACTTTTTCTATAGAATTCATTTTGGTTAGCTTTGTGGAGATGTGGTAGAGTGCTGTATGACTGTGCATGAATGGGTAAATGAGGGCACAGATTGTGTCGTAAAGCTCTTTGAGTATCCTGGTTGGATAGAAAGTCTCTATAGAAGTACAGTCCATTTCTTCTACCGTGAAAATCCCCAGTTAGTCTCTACATCTCTGACTCTTAACAGGCTTCTGTACACAACTCAACCATTGTGCTTATCTAAAGTCTTTAGAGGGACTCAGATATCTGTCTTTTGGAGGAGCAGAAGGAATGAAATGTCTGAGTGTTGAGCATGACTGCCTCATCCGTTTTACGCCAAACAAAAAGAAAAGGGCAAAATGCATTGGCATGTTTCTCTGGAGTTATTAGTCTACGATCTCTCTGCTCTACAAGCTGCAGTAAATCGGTTCAGTGATTTAAAAGCTGCGTAGCCTGTTGTAGCAGCAGATGGAATCATATTTTGTCTTTATAGTTGAATGTGTAGGAACTGAAACTGTTGGCTTTGATGAGATGGTGTGGCTGATCGGTGATGAACACACCGACTGGAGTTTTGAAAATTGGAGGACCATTATATATAAATACACACACACACATATATATATATATATATATATATATATATATATATATATATATATAGAGAGAGAGAGAGAGAGAGAGAGAGAGAGAGAGAGAGAGAGAAATTTATATATTTGATAAAGATTTATTTTCACTGCACATCATCAGATTATACAGTATCAGCTGTCGAAGGACCTCTCTATTTGCACACATGTACTCTTTTATTACTCTTCTCTATGATCTAGTCTTACATGCACTTCCTTATGTGACACATTTTTGTATTATTATTCAGCACTTTATACATGTACAACTTTATTTTAATTAGCTGCACAGACAACAGGAAGCAAACACATTGAATCCTTCCTGTGATACAAACGGAAAAACAAAAGGTTTCTGTTCAACATAAACAGCATCTGCTAGTTATAACGATGGACATACTTCTGAAGATCATCAGAAGATGTATAAAAACCAGATTGCACAACAGTTGTTTTTTTCTTTACAAAACTTGAGGCAGTCATATCAGAGTACAATAAATCCAAAAAGTTGACAGCAATAGTATGTTTCACTAAAAATAATACATTTTGTGTTTCTGCATTGTCCCATTTGCTTTTTTTTTCAGCAAGAAGTAAATGGCTAAGGCTATGGAGAGTTGATGGAGGCACTGATGCATCACAAAGAAATTTATAGGGAAAGAATAAAAAAAGAGTTTCAAAGTGACAACAAAACAGCAGTGTTGCCATTTATACCAATGCTTGAGATGTGTGCCACATGTACTTCTGATGTCAGAGCATTGATCTAAGAAGGAGGTCAGACCTGACTTAGCCATGACATAGTTGCACGTCAGAAAACCTGTAGTTACAAACTGTTGTACTCAGTAACCAGGCTAACTATCACTGGCAATACAAACAGATAACTTTTTGACAACAAATTTTTAGGCAGTCTCAACAACAAAACAATTCAATTCAGTTTATTTATTTAGCATCAATTCACAACAAAGTTGTCTCAGGACACTTTACAGGAACATTCACATACATAGAAAAGCTTATTAGTAAAGTTCTCTATCTAACGAAGCCAGCAGACACGTTGAATCTTCATTTCATCACAGTTAAACATCATGAGCAAGCACAGTGGCAACAGTGGAAAGGAAAAACTCCCTTTTAAAAGGAAGAAACCTCCAGCAGAACCAGGCTCAGGACAAGCGGCCATCTTCTTTGACCGGCTGGTTTGAGGACAGGAAGGAGAGACAAACGAACACAGAATGGCAGGTCCAGATGTAGGTGCAGGTGTACCCCCTATTGGAAGAAAGACAAAAACATGTTAAGGATATATTTTATTTATTTATTTATTTATTTATTTACAAATATAAAACAGGTTGAGTAGAGTAAGTAAAGACAGTAGCATAGTGAAGAAATGTGGTCAGTTTGTCCTCCAGCAGTCTAAGCCTATAGCAGCATAACTAAAGGACTTTTTTTATTTTTATTTATACAGGTAGTTTCATTGAGCCATGAGAACTCATTTTCAAGAGAGACTTGTTTAGGGAGCAGATGGGGGTTAAGGACCTTGCTCATGGGCCCAGCGCGGGGCGAATGAGGGTGGGGACAAGTGTGGGTGCTTCACCTACTCCACCCACATTTTTTGATGTTGTCGGTACCGGGGCGTGAACCGACGATCTTCCGATCACAGGCCCACCTTCTCTAACCTCTGCGCCACCACTCCCCCGATAGGATAGGATAACTCAGCAAACCCAAGCCAACTTTAACTATAGGATTTATCAAAAAGGAAAGTCTTCAGCCCAGTCTTAAAACTGGACAATGTGTCAGCCTCATGGACAGAAACTGGAAGTTGGTTCCACAAGAGAGGAGCCTGATAACTGAAAGATCTTCCACACATTCTGGTTTGGGAAACTCTAGAAGCCGCAAGTAATCGTGCAGTTTGAGAACAAAGTGCTCTGTTGGGAAAATGTGAAAAAATAAGATCTGTAATATAAGATGGAGCTAGGTTTTTGAGGGCTTTGTATGTTAGAAGTAAGATTTAGAATTCTATTCTGAATTTGATAGGGAGACAATGGGCTCCCAAAACACTGAGAAACATTTTCACTAATCATTGTTGAGCCATCCACTAATAACAACAGTTACAGTAAGGCAGAGAGCAGTGGGATTTTTTTTCCCTTTGTGCTACTCACCCTTTTTTAGCTTTTTTTTATCCATTTTCATTCCTTTAATCTTCAGCCAAAGATTAAGAGCATGTTAGGCTTTCTTTTTTTTTTTTTTTTTGTTGCCTTCTAAACCTAAATTGTCACTTTCACCACTTATTGTCTGTCCAAACAGGTCTCACTTGTAAATGAGTCTTCGAGGCTCAATGTGATTTATTTGTTTAAATAAATGTTGAATTAATGAATGAATGTAAGAGCACAAGCAACAATTTCCAGTAAAAACCCTAGATCTGAAGAGACGTTCCTGTATTCAATATTCTATGTAACCAACACAGCATTCAGAGTTGCCAGATAAACATGAAAACATTTTTTACTTGCTCCTTTTTCTGTGCATGTGACCAAAACATCTCTCTGTGAGTCTTGCAAACTGAGTCTTATGACTTAATTGTGAAGGTTGAGTAGTTTTAGTCTCACCTGCATGTAATCCAGGTACAGAACAAAGCCTTCCATGTTTCTATAAAGCTTGAAACTCTACACACTCCAAGTATTTTTGAATTGAGAAAGTCTTCCAGGATGCAAAATGAAACATCCAGCTATATAATTGAAATCCAGCTGTTTCATTTTTGTCAACAAACCAGAAAACACTAGACAAAAATCAAACTTTTAGATTTAGGTATAAGTAGTAAAATCAAACATTATGGTGAAATCATAGTAACAGTTTTGCTTACAGAAGTAAATTATCCAAATAAAAATAATTGTAATCAATGTAACATGTGTTTAAACTATTAGGACAAGAAAGATGTGTTTAAAGATGTTTTTGTAGACTTTTGAGGGAAGAGGTCCACTTTATTTAAACCATCATCATGTTCTCATCTGTTTGAACTTCAGTGGATGATTATTTTCTGCATCAGTTTACTTAATATTCACTCCACTACCTGTTGGTTTGATCAGACCCTGTTAATTTGTCCTCCAGAATCTCATTTTGTGTTTTGCAGTGGTAACTGAAGCCTTCTCTCTTGTTATTGTCACTGATCAGGGAGAGCTGACGATGAGTACTGACATGGAGAGCCTTCAAAATGCTGTTTTCCTGGACGTGGTTCCAGACAGTTGGACCAAACGAGCTTACCCCTCCACGTCAGGCTTGGCCCTGTGGTTCTCAGACCTGCTGGCCAGGATCAAGGAGCTTGAGGCCTGGTCCTCTGATTTTATATTGCCCTCTGCAGTGTGGCTGGCTGGCTTCTTTAACCCCCAGTCTTTCCTCACAGCCATCATGCAGACAATGGCCAGAAGGTAGACTTGATTTGTACTTCAACATCAAACATAATAAAATTGATTTGCTATGATGAAGCAAACATTTCTGTTTTCTATTTAAAAGGAATGAGTGGCCTCTGGACAGCATGTGTCTGCAGTGCGATGTGACTAAGAAGACCCGTGAGGAGTTCAGCTCTCTTCCTCGTGAAGGGGCCTATGTACATGGGATGTACATGGAAGGGGCTCGGTGGGACACGCAGGTACACAAAGTAGGGCTGGGCGATAAGAGGAAAATCTAATATCCCAATATTATTTTGCTATATCACGATACACGATATATATCACAATATTTATAAATAATCTCCAGTGTTACTATAAACTTGTATTTAAAATTGCACTGGTGTACTCTATTCAAACAGACCATTGATGTTTTTTTTTTAATTGAATACAAAATCAGAATAAGTTTAAAATGTTTTATTGTAAACATCAGTTGCACACAAATCATCTTCTTCAGTAATGAAATTAGTACCACCGTCTCTTACTGTGGTCAACACTATACCTTTAATAAACAAGACCTTAGCAGCAAAAAAGTACACCAAGCACAAATCCACAATGAAAAATAAACCAGCTGTCTGAAAAAAATGGTGCTCGTTAGTGCTTTTTGCATAAAAATTGTAAAATCAAAAAACCTGATGAGTCCAGATTACAAAAATAAAAGTTTAAATAGTGACTATATAATCAACTGACCCAGAACAGCCACAGGTATCCGAGCTTCTCTAATCAATTTGCATATGCTGGAAATTTTGAAAGGGTCACGTTTGTTAGCTGCTGGCCTACGTTTTCTCTTACTGAAACGTACAACTCTGGCAGCACTTTTTCTGCAAAGAACTTGCGACCTGGCAAGTCGTATTTTGCATCAAGAGTCTTAATAAGATTTTTGAATCCAGGCTTTTCCACAACACTGACAGGAGCCATGTCTTTGGCGATATATTTTGTTACTGCGTCAGTGATTTCTCTCCACTTTGTACTTTTTCTGTCATACGGGATGGCTTTGGCAAATGAAGAAGCTAGTGTCATCTGCTTCACAGCTGTATCATTTAACGTTTTCTTTGTTGTGGTGGGAGACGTGGACATACGGAGTTTACAACATTCTTCATTTTGCAGTGGATGACTTCTTAGGTGGTGAAATAAATTTGTGGTACTGCTTCCTTTCGTGGCATTGGTTTTACGACACGTTTTGCAAATTACCACATTTTGTTCGACATCCTCCTTGTAAAATCCAAACCACTGCCAGATTATTGATCCAGTGCTGTTTCTCTTCGGAACTAGTTCATCGGACTCTTCAGTTATCGTCTCATTCACCCGCTCACCTGAATTTTTTTAATTTATTTTATTTTTTATTTGTAACGCACTTTTCATTAACAAAAATCTCAAAGTGCTACAGAGTGCAACTAAAATCAATGATAAAATCAACTAAAATATCTGATAATAACTGAATCTCCCGCTGTCGCCATATTTTTTCCTCTCTCCAAGTCTATATGCGCATGCTCCGCACAGCGTGTCATGCGGGACATTTTCAGGTTGGGAGGGGGCAAGGAGTAGTGATACATTTGTTGCGTGTCGGATAAACGAAACTCACAGTGAATTAGATGCGGAAAGCTTATTATTTGAACGGCATTTTATACTCGATGGTTGCGATAGAGCCATTTTAACCATCGTAAATTGAAAAACTCGAGATACATCGAGTATATTCAATACATCGCCCAGCCCTAACACAAAGCAGTTATGTCTGTTTATTGTGTTAGAAAGTATAATATATTAGAGCCCGACCAATATATCGGTAGGGCCGATACTTTAGACCGATATAGTCATTTGGGGCATATTGGTATTTAAATGACCCATTAATTACTGATATAAACACATACTTTTTACCCATAAAATGCTGAGAACCAGCTGTGTGCTAACTTGCACAAGACATAAATGTACAATATATCCAGCAGAGAGTGGATGCCGAATACTTTCAAGTTATGGCCATGCACAACTTTCACTTTCAGCATATCCGAAGCAGGGAACAATATTGTGTAGTGTACAGACCCTTTCCAAAAAGTTAGAATATCATGGAAAAGTTGTTTAACTTCCATAAGTTAAGTTAAAAAGTTAATCTTTAATAGATGATAAATTCATGGCCCACAATTTAAACGATTTCAGGGATTTATTTGTTTATTTTTACATAATTTGGGCTTCCAGCTCATGAAACCCACGAAAACAGGAATTCGATAAATTAGAATACTGTGGAGAAATCAGCCCAAATGTTGCAGGACATGAATGTTTTAAACTGAGTGTGACACACTAATCATCTACTAAACTGAAACGCCTGCAAATTTTTTCCCAGGTGTCATTAAATTGCTTCACTTTGATTCAATTGTCTCAGTTCGGTTCAATATGGGGAAGACTGCAGACATAACTGGCCAGAAGACCATCATTGATACCCTCCATAGGATGAGGTGGGAGACGGAGCTTCGAAAACCACCACATTCAGACACATCCAGGAGATGGGCTACAACTGTCGGGTTCCTCGGGTCAAGCCACTTCTGAAACAGAGCCAACGTATCTGTTTTCAATGAAAGTAAAGTGTACCATTCATTCAGAAATCAAGGTCTAAGGGTTTTGAGGAAGAAGGGTGAGGAACAGAACCCATACTGCTTAAGGTCCAGTGTGAAATATCCACAGTCAGTCATGATTTGGGGTGCAATGTCCGGTGCAGGTGTTGATAAACTCTGCTTTCTTAAATCTAAGGTCACCGCAACAGTTTACCACAATGTTTTAGAGGGCTTCATGATTCCTTCTGCAGAGGATCTGTATGGAGATGCAGATTTAATTTTCCAGCAGGACCTGGCCCCTGCCCATGCCACCAAAAGCACCAAAACCTGGTTTGATACCCATGCCACAGTGCTTGACTGGCCAGCTAACTTGCCAGACCTAAACCCCATGAAGAATCTATGTGGTATTCTCAAGAGGAAAATGAGGGACACCAGACCCAACAACAATGAAAAGCTGACAGCAAGCATCAAGGAAATCTGGGCTTCCTTTTCCATGATATTCTAATTTTTTGGAAAGGGTCTGTATATTGCTGAACAGAACATTGTAAGTTTATTGTAACTGATCTGTAAATTTAAAAACATCAAGAATAATTAGGCATGCCACAATAACAAATTTTGCTGAGAAATTATTGCGATAAACGATAATATTGTTTGAAATTTGACAATAATTAGTAATTTTGAAATTTAGGAATAATTGTTGGTTAATTTGTTTTGTGTGTAGTGTCTTTTTTGACCACCCAATGGCAGTATTACTGTTTGAACCGAAGGATGGATAGTGAGGGAGCGAGCAAAGTGTCTCTTTAAGAAAAATGGGAGGGAGGCCCCTTGACATGACATGGGCTGTCTCTCCTTCCTTTATTTGGTTCTCAAAATGGCAGACGCTCGGTGAGGTTTGAGCGCTTTAGCATAGCATTTTTCACAGAAAGCTTTTAATAAAAATCAATAAACAAGTTCTCAGCTTCTTTTTCAGAGAAAAGCAACTTTTTACATTAAGCCACGAGTTTCAACCGTGAATTTTGGAGCTTGGACAAGATGGAGGTTTGTCCTCGAGGTCAGCCTGTTAGCTTAGCTTGTAGCTTAGCTTCTCAGGGAAGCTGGTTTTAACCATCCAAAAACGTAATTTTTGGATGGTTAAAACAAATTTTAAAGAGAACGGGAGAGGTCAGTGAAGAGCACCAGAGTTTAGCTTTTTGTCATCCGGTGTCTTCAGTTGAAAGAGAGAGACACAAAGAAAGAATAAAACCGACAAATGAAAATGAGATTGATAATTTTAATTTATCATGCGATTAATTGATTTGTTTATTGCGACAGGCCTAACAATAATAAATTCTCTTCAATAATGTAACCTGCTTGTCATTACCTACGTGCCTCTCAATTTAGCAAGCTTATATTTAGATAACCTAGCATGGGCTATTGCCTTGTAAAACTTTACCCAAAACAATAAGTCTAACGTAGATGTAAAATATGTCAGTGTTAGAAACATTATCTTTGTTGTCCTCAATGAAATGCATTGTTTGTCTGAAATCTTAACTTCTTTAGAAAGAAAAATAAAACTCTACTGCGGTCAATACTAATTAGAACTTCACCACATGTTTAAACAATGAACAGGGAAGGATGTTTCTTGGTTTAATTTATATTTTTGCAACACACGATAACGTTATGGTGAATAGCGGCAGATATAAAATGTGAACGGACGTTAGGAAGATTGTTTCAAGACTCCAAATGTTAAAACAGGTTTAAAAGTAGTTTATTTAGATTCCTGGAGGTGGACAAACGTCAAAAATTTTCAGCCAGTTTATCGGTTATAAGTATTAGCCTTCCGTGCCCATTATCAGTATTGGCGCTAGCCAAAATTTCCATATCGGTCAAGCTCTATTATACATGAACAACTGATTTTAGGAGAATGAGTATGTACACAATAAGAACAATAATCTTCATTTTACTGTGGGTAGCAAAAGTATTCACTACCCTTGGCATTCTGATTTGTTGCTTTAAAACTTGGAATTTACAAGACATTTTGAGGGCTTGTATCTTTTAATTTACACACAACCACTAGCACTTTTACATGAAAGCTATCATTTATAGTGAAACAAACAATAAATAACATAGAATGAGAAACTGAGAATGCATAACTAACACACACCCAAAAGTCAATTTTCTTTCATTGAATCTTTATTTATACATGTTAATCCCACTGAGCCTCAGGGACTCATTTACAAGACAAACCTGATTTTATCAAAGATTGATTACAACAGTGGAAAACAAAGACAACAAAAGACAATCATAAAGGATGTGTACAAATTGAGAATAACAAGTGAAAATAAAATGGTATTAAAAATGTAACAAAACGCATCTAGGTTGTAAAGCGATGTAGAACACTAAAAACAAGAACATGTCTGCATTGGTTTTGCCATGCACTCAGCAGATGTTTGAAGCCACTTAGAGAGGTCAAGGTCGAGAGCGTCAGAACATTTTGCAAGATATTCCAGGAAATAGGAGCGGCGTATGAGAAGGCCATTTTGCCTAGTTCAGTCCACACACTGCATGAAATAATGTCCTGAGAGCGCACGCTGTAGCTGCACTCACACAGTGACATGTAGGAGGAGATGTATGAAGGCAGTAGACCAAGAAGGGATTTAAAGATGAAAATGTACCAGTGGAAGAGTCTGCGTGAAGTTAATAATGTCCAGTTAACCAGTGAATACAGGGTGCAGTGGTGGGTACAATGGTTACAGCCAGTTATGAATCTTAGTCCACCATGATAGGCAGCATCCAACATCTGCAGGGTGCTTGTAGGAGCATTCATGTAAATAATGTCACCGTAATTAATGGAGGGAAGGAAAGTTGCAGTTGCAAGGCGTTTCCTAGCATTCAGAGTTACACAGGATCTATTTCTGAAAAAGAAACCCAGTTTAACTTTCAGTTTCCTTACCAAGTTTTCCACATAGAGCTTAAAAGAGAGATGTGAATCGACCAAGATACCCAAATATTTGTATTAATCAACAAACTCGATAGGGGCACCATTTGAAAATAATATAGAAGGAAGAACTGCTGGGACCAACTTATTGTTTGAAAACACCATCCCTTTGGTTTTGTTGGCGTTTAGGACAGGTTTGAGACTGAACAAATCTGACTGAATGATGTCAAAAGTGGATTGCAAAAGCTGGGAAACCTTAGCAACTGTTTAAGCTTGACAACAAACAACTTTATAATCTGCATAGAAATGTAAGTATGTATCAGGGATGCTCTGACCTACATTAACTATGTAAATTGTAAAGAGGGTGGTTCCTAAGACTGAGCCTTGTGGTACACCATTGTTGACTGTTAAATAACTAGAGGAAGTACCATTATGTTGAACATTTTGATTATGTTTAACGCATTGTCTCAGGTATGAGAGATAGTTAGTGAACCAAGCAACCAGTCTACAACCAATACTATATAGTGCCACCTTTTGCAGCATTTACAGCATCCAATCTCTTCAGATTTGTTTTTACATTATTTGTCTATCTGATCACTGGAAGTCTGCTTTTCTTAACCAAACTGCTTCCTCTTCAAGATAGATGTGTGCTGCTTGTGTCTAACAATCTTTAAATTATACTTGAGATTATTAGCTTGATTGAGTTTTGAGATTTGACTGGACCATTCCAGAACATTTGGCTGGTTATTCTTAAAACACTGAAGTGTTGCTTCAGCAATGTGTTTATGGTCATTGTCCTGATTGAAGATGAACCTCTATTCCAATCTCAAGAACTTCACAATTCAAATTAGTGCACAATGTCACTACCATGCTTTGCTGTGGCATACTCTTCTCAGCAGCATCACATATGTTAGGGTTTCTCTAAGCACAGTGTTCTTTTTGGAGGACTAATAGTTCAAATTTAGGTTCATTCAACCACAGCACCTACTTTTATGTGCTCGAGTCATCCCCAATAAACTTTTAGGCAAATTCTAAAAGGTCTACCTTGTTTTTTTTTCTTTAGCAGCAGTTTTGTCCTGGCTACTCTTTCATGCATTGTGCAGCTTATAGCGATGAACACATTTGCAGCTCTACACAAACCCCATAGTACTTTAAGTTCTGCCTTTGACGGATGATGATGATGGATGATGTGAACATTGGGTGAGCTAACCTCCAAATGCACCTTTAAACAGAATGAAGAAAAGTAACTTGAGCATAAACTCTGAAGAGAACAGCAGAATTCCCTCTGTGGTCTCATTTTCTGCTTTAAATCCTGCTTGTGTTCAGCGCTCAGAGTGCAGCGCATTACTCAGCTTCCCTGGACTCCATCTATCTACATACACCCAACTACTGTATATGCACCGAGCTTTCAGGAGCATCCCTGTAGACTTCTTAATTAGAGAATGTGCAGAGTGTGCATTTGAACACTTACATCGCCCTTTAGAGGAGTTGTTCCTTTTTTTCTTCATTAAATTTGGAGATGTAGGCAAATAGACAGGCAGACAGACAGCCCAGGCTCCTCCACTTCTCTCCCCATCCTCTCTTCACATCCTCCTCTCAGCCCTGAGGCCGGCTCTGTGCCGACGGTGAGCAGGAACAGAGTGGGAACTGGAGAGAAGGCAGCTCTCCATCTGGATGCAGCTATGCAGCAATAAAAGTAAAAGATTTCTGATAAAACTACTCATCTATATTAATGAACCTTTCATTTTAGTTATCAGGGGTTTCGGCATCAAAGTCAGCTGCACCTTTCTGCAGAAATATCAGTGGATATTTGTGAATTTATGTAATAAACAACACTCATCTGTGATAAATACCTCTGTTAGGTGCATTCCCATTCCCTCAATATGTTGTGGGATTTAACAATAAGAAGAACAGATGTCCTTTCCTGTAGTAACAGTTTATATGGAGCGTCATTAAATAAATATATCACAAAGAGCCCACATGGCGAGCTTTTATTTTTGCTGCCAAACAAACATAATTAATAGTACAGTATTTAAGACCTCTTTAAAGTTTTAGAGCGATTGCTGTGGCAATTAGGGCGCCGTCCTTTGAGCTTTCGAAAGTCATCAGGATTTATATTATTGCCTAAAAGTCTGTGCGTTCATGAAGAAACTTGTGTTTGTCAAGCATTAAGTATAGGAGGATTAATTAATGAGACAGACCACTTGCTTTTTGTGGGTTTAGTCAGTGAGGACTGTAAGGGCAATTTGACTTTGAATCCAGCTTTAATGACTTTCACCACTTTTCAAGGGAGCTGCGATGAATGGAAAGTTCGCTTTACTCGGTCCAGTTCCTATTAGTCAAACTTTCATTTTACTTTTCAAATTAATATTTTTAAATATAGCAGTAATGATGAATTCAATGTTGTGAAAAAAGGTCTGAAGACATTTCCTCCAGATTTCATACGCCCATCAAAAGTCATACCTATAGAGTAATAGTCTCCGTCTGTCCATAGGTATGTAAATTTAATTTTGTTCCACCTATAACTTATGATTTTTTTAAGATAACTTAACCAAACTTCATACACATAATCACTAGACAGAGTGTCACGTACACTTTTTATCACCCCAGCTCCAAGTTCAAAGGTTTTAAAAGGTCTTTGCTTTTCGGGGCGATTGCTATTGGTTGCTGTATTGCTGTGTAACAGTTTGTCGATGAGCGTATAATGTGTTGTATGCCATACACTTGTTTGTACATCTTTCTCCTTCATCTATTTCTTTTCAGACTGGTTTGATCGTTGATGCCCGCCTGAAAGAGCTCACTCCAGCCATGCCTGTCATCTTCATCAAGGCCATTCCTGTAGACAAGCAGGACAACAGAAATGTCTACCAGTGTCCTGTCTATAAAACCCGCCAGAGGGGGCCCACTTACATCTGGACCTTTAACTTGAAGACAAAAGAAAACCCCTCTAAATGGACCTTAGCTGGTGTGGCATTGCTTCTGCAGGTTTAGTTCAGATAAACGTGCTGATGGTGCAGACAGGGTCAACAACATGAACACATGCAAACCAAACATGTCTAAATGAACTGTAGGAGTAGTTTAGTTTATTAAGCATGGAGTTCAAGTTGTTAAAAAGCACACATTTTCAGCTGTCAATTCTTTTTAATATTGATCATTATTCAGGTCCTTCTAAGTCCTGTCCTTCTAATAGTAGGAAAAAAAAACTTATATTCAGAAAGATAATTTTCATTCAACCTTTAATACAAGTTAGTCTCACTGAGTCAAGAGGACTCATTTACAAAAGAGACCTGTTTTAAATAAAAACCATAAATGAGGTACACACAACAATAAACATTCATATGAAAGAATATAAAATGAAAAGCATATAAAATAAATGAAATAAAACAAAATAAAAAAACAAGATACATTATAAAATGGTGTTAAATACTAAAAACAAGAACATGTCTGCATTGGTTTTTGCCATGAACTTAGCAGTTCTTAATGAAATCCCTTAGACAGGTCAAGGTCAAAAGCTTCAGATGTTTTTCCAAGATGTTCCAGGATACAGCAGCGGAGTAAGAGAAGGCCCTTTTGCCAAGTTCAGTTCTCACTGAGAGGACACTGCAGGTAATAATGTCTTGAGAGTGCACGCTGTAGCTGCACTGACTACGTGACGTAGGAGGAGATGAATGAAGGTAACAGACCAAGAAGGGATTTAAAGATAAAAATGTACCAGTGAAGTTAATGATGACCAGTTAACCAATGATGCAGGGTGCAATGGTGGGTACGGTAATTACAGCCAGTTATGAATCTTATCACACCGTGACAGACAGCATCCAACATCTGCACTGTGCTAGCAGGAGCGTCCATGTAAATGTCACTGTAGTCAATAGATGGAAGGAGAGTAGCTGTTACAAGGCGTTTCCTTGCATTCAGTTAGACGGGATCTGTTTCTGAAAACAAACTCCAATTGAGAATGAAAGTAAAGAAAATTAAAAAGTAATGAAAAAGTAATGAAATGAGTACAATTAAAGTAATGTGTGGATACAAAATACAGTATCTACACACAATATGTGAAAGATCAATGGTAGACGCAGAATTGTGAAGAAATTGTCTAATTTCCAGTTGTCTCTGAATACTGAGTGCTTGAAACCAAGCGACCAGCTAGCCATGTGGCCACAGACAGTTTTTGGAAATTACCGTCATCTTTTGTGCTTTTTGTTAAATGTATTCCAGGACATACACTTAATTTTGTTGCCCACCTCTGCATTCATCACACCCTGCTTGGCAGCTGCCCCCATGTTTATAATTAATCTATTGGAAAACAATTTTGAAATAATAATAACCATATGTTGTGTGAGAATTTAAACAATTACTGGATCCACCCCAATGATTCTACTGTTGATTTGAATAAAATGAGCTGACACATTTTCTTTACCCGTGTTCTTTACCCGTGTCTTCCTTTGTGGGTTGTGGGGGTCTCTGGTGCCCATATCCAGCAGTCACTGGGCAAGAGGTGGGAGACACCCTGGACAGGTCTCCAGTCCATCACAGGAACATACAGAGACAAACAACCATTCACTCTCTCACTCTCACCTATAGGGACAATTTAGAGTCACCTGTCAGTCTAACATGCATGTTTTTGGTCTGTGGGAAGAAACCGGAGTACCCGGGAAAAACCCACGCATCACAGAGAGAACATGCAAACTCCACCCAGAAGGGTGGTGGGATTCGAGCCTGCGACCTACTCGCTGAGAGGAAACAGCTCTAGCAACAGATCCACCGTGCCACCCTATTTTTTAACGTTTTTATTTAAATTGTATTTTTCTACATATTGGTTCTAAAGATGGCTCCTCACATGATTCTGTGGAATAAACCAACACCAGATAAACTTTGAGATGCATACAGCCACATTATATATGAAGTAAAAACAAACTGTATCCTGTTCCATTTTGAGAATCCACTCACTTCACGTGTCCTATTGTTAAAATGTTTCAAGGACGGCATTAAGAATTGGATAGCACTTCAATATTTTCATGTTTTTTTTTCTAGTATTGCAAATTTTTTATGGATTTGTGTTCAAATACTGAACACAGAAGTAATCTGAACAAATCATTGTGGATCATGTTGAATGTGGTTACCCTCAAACCTACATTTACCTACCACATTTCAGGCTTCAAACATAAATATATAAAATTTTAATTTTTTGTGAAGAATCAACAAGTGGGACACAATCGTGAAGTGGAATAAAATTTATTGGATGTGTCAAACTTTTTTAACTAATAAAAAACTGAAAAGTGGGGCGTGCAATATTATTCGGCCCCCTTGTGTTAATACTTTCTAGTGCTGCCTTTTGCTGCAGTTCCAGCTGCAAGTCTCTTGGGGTTTGTCTCTATCAGTTTGCACATGGAGAGACTGAAATTCTTGCCCATTCTTCGTTGCAAAACAGCTCGAGCTCAGTGAGGTTGGATGGAGAGCGTTTGTGAACAGCAGTCTTCAGCTCTTTCCACAGATTCTCGATTGGATTCATGTCTGGACTTTGACTTGACCATTCCAACACTTGGATATGTTTATTTGTAAACCATTCCATTGTAGATTTGGCTTTATGTTTTGGATCATTGTCTTGTTGGAAGATAAATCTCCGTCCCAGTCTCAGGTCTCTTGCAGACTCAAACAGGTTTTCTTCCAGAGTGGTCCTGTATTTAGCCCCATCCATCTTCCCATCAATTCTGACCATCTTTCCTGTCTCTGCTGACGAAAAGCAGGCCCAAACCATGATGCTGCCACCACCATGTTTGACAGTGGGGATGGTGTGTTCAGGGTGATGAGCTGTGTTGCTTTTACGCCAAACATATCATTTTGTATTGTGGCCAAACAGTTTGATTTTGGTTTCATCTGACCAGAGCACCTTCTTCCACATGTTTGGTGTGTCTCCCAGGTGCTTGTGACAAACTTTAAACAACACTTTTTATGGATATCTTTGAGAAATGACTTTCTTCTTGCCACTCTTCCATAAAGGCCAGATTTGTGCAGTGTACAAATGATTGTCCTATGGACAGACTCTCCCACCTCAGCAGTAGATCTCTGCAGTTCATCCAGAGTGATCATGGGCCTCTTGGCTGCATCTCTGATCAGTCTTCTCCTTGTTCGAGATGAAAGTTTAGAGGGACGACTGGGTCTTGGTAGATTTGCAGTGGTCTGATACACCTTCCATTTCAATATGATTGCTTGCACAGGGCTCCTTGGGATGTTTAAAGCTTGGGAAATCTTTTTGTATCCAAATCCGGCATTAAACTTCTCTACAACAGTATCTCGGACCTGCCTGGTGTGTTCCTTGGTCTTCATGATGCTCTCTGCGCTTTGAACAGAACCCTGAGACTATCACAGAGCAGGTGCATTTATACAGAGACTTGATTACACACAGGTGGATTCTATTTATCATCATCAGTCATTTGGGACAACATTGGATCATTCATAGATCCTCACTGAACTTCTGGAGTGAGTTTGTTGCACTGAAAGTAAAGGGGCCAATAATATTGCACGCCCCACTTTTCAGTTTTTTATTTGTTAAAAAAGTTTGGCACATCCAGTAAATTTCATTCCACTTCACGATTGTGTCCCACCTGTTGTTGATTCTTAACAACAAATTAAAATTTTACATCTTTATGTATGAAGCCTGAAATGTGGCAAAAGGCTGAAAAGTTCAAGGGGGCCGAATACTTTTGCAAGGCACTGTGTATAGTAACAAGCGGTACGGCAACACTCCCCGTCGCTGAAGATTTGAATAGTGAATGTTGGAGAGTTTTTCAAGTTTTTCTTGACTGGAATTAACCAGGAATACAAGTAAACAATGTTTTTGGTGCAAGATGTTCAAGTAGGCAGGAGCAGGGCCGGCCCAAGCCTCCATGGGGCCCTAAGCAAAATTTGGTTTGGTGCCCTCTATTTCGGCTAATAATGTGGCTAATATTGTAACTAATAATGCACTGCAATCAACAGTCAGATGATCAGATCATTCACTCACCTAACATAAACTCATTGTAACTCTGACAGCCTTGTTTACATTATCCTATATGTATATGCAGGGGTGTCAAACTCATTTTCATTTTGGGCCACATCAAGCTCATGAATGTCCTGAAAAGGCCGGACATGGCAGAATGTAACGATAAAACTATCTATTAACAAACTAGTAAAATAAAAATTTCTCTGCATTTGATGACTACTTTAAAAATTAAATGTTTTATGTTTGAGTAATTTGGCATTATAAACATAAAAACTGATTTGATTTGACAAAGTAATATTGAAGCACACTGCAATCTTGAAGTTCTGTGCAGAGAACCACAGAAATGGTTATGATGGGCCAGATTTGGCCTACGGGCCTTGAGTTTGACACATGCTATATTATTATAAAAAAATAATATTATTGAAAAATATTATTGTGAAAAACATATCACAACGTTATAATGAACTTGTGTGTAATAGAATCATAGAAATAATTACTAAAATAAAATAATAAATTCCTAGCCACTTAGTTTGCTTATGCCTTGGGCCGACCCTGGGTAGGAGTAGGTTTTCATTAATTTATTTATTGTCTCATACATCCATTGATGGATCCTGGCATGTGGAAGAAGCAATTTTATTCACATCCTGGTGCGTTGGTAGAACCAAGGAGTGATGACTGGTGACAGAAATTAGACTTCAGCTAACTATAGTTTTAAGCAATATTAAAACGAGACAGTCTCTTTTCTGCAAATACAAGAAAACTTGTGAGCATGTTAACTTTCAAGTTAGCATGCTCACAACATGCAAGGATGGACAGATGATATTTCCACTTTTTACCTTTTCACTCTGCAATGAGGGAAAAATTCATCCATGAAATTGAATCGAAACATTTTGATATTCAACAAAGTTCAGTCAGGTCCTCTGGATGGTTTATTTTTGCTGAAACTTTTCTTCTTTCATCCAAAAAGCTATTTGTCCAAGGAGCCACAACAAACTCGATCTTATAAACAGCA